GTCTCATATGGGCTTCCGAAAGCATTGTAAAAGAAGAAAGCACAGGACACTGAGGAGAAGACGATGAGCACCACGCAGAAGAAGATCACGCTCACATGGAGACTGGCCGGACCCGTGTCCATCAGGTCAGGGAAAACTACACAGAATAAAGAGGTTTCTAACATGATCTCCATTGTTTGAGTCCTAACTTAGGATTGGTGTTTTTGAATCAGCTTTTAATTTGTCATCAACGTCTTCAAGCTATTGTGAGTGACTATGTTTGATTTTGACTTTGGCCCTTATCTCCGAATAATTTTGAGGATAAGATTTCAGTATAGTATGTATGAAAATTGATTTTAATCATTAAAAGTAATCTCTGATCATATCTGTCCACAATTTGCATGCATCTCCCTGTGAGTAAAAAACTAATTTACGATGACAATATTCTTTTGTTCTGCTAAAAGTCTGGCTCTCAAATCTGGGGCTTTTCCAGATCTCATTAGGAAAGAATGAATCATTGTACATGAAGCTGTCATGAAAGATCAATCTGAGACCCATTCAAAACCCCATCAACGAGATGAGTCCCTCCCAAACCTCGAGACAAAACAACTGAAAAACTAAAATCTGATAAACTGAACAATGAATCAGATGTCTCTTGAAACAGCCCCTTAGACTCTTTTAAATCTGTTAAATCTATAGTCTGAAGGGGGTTTACTTGCTATGCATGAAAGACGAAGGGACATTTTTCTAAAGCAAAAGATTGATGATGACTTAAAAAATTAGATGTGTTTGTGAAGGTCATTTTGAAAAAGGTTTGTTACACATCAGTGGACTCAAAACGTATTTGGACCTTTAAAGGGTATTGAATTGAAAATTCTGTCATCATTGTCGTTCCAACCCTGTATATCTTTCTTTCTTTCATAGAACACAAAGGAGAAACTTTGACTAACTTTTTCCAAGCATTTACAAAAGCTTTTAATGCTTCATAAAGGATGCAAAATCAGTATAAAAATATCATGAAAGTAGTCCATATGACTCATGCACTATGCCATATAATAACATTAAGGATCAATATAAAAAAAAAAGTAATTGCATTAGATACAAAATAACAAAGCACACGTGGTACCTGCAAAGGAATGATGCAAGAGCTTTTCTGATCACTAACTTGACTTTTCTGAGCAGTTTTTGCAGTGACCTTTAACCAACTTTCAACGTGATTTGAAGTCACTTCCCTTCAAGTTCACACATGTGCTCAGTACATTAACTGATAGGTTCCACTATTTGATTAGGATCCACAAAGATCACAATACTGTCTTCATTTTGTACAGCTTATCTATTGTTTTATGACTTAAAATAAATGTGTTAATTGTTATGATTGTTATTTATTGTAATGCAACAAGGGTAGGCCTACTATTTAAGTGCTCAAGTGTCCAAACACTTTTAGAGAAGCTGTATATGCACATGTACTACAGTATTACCGTTTTCTTATATTGCATTTCTGTGTGGTCTAAATAATAAAACTATTTATATTTCTGGTGTGCTTTTAAACACTTGTACTGTTCTTTTCTTAAAGGCATAGCTCATCCAAAAATAAAAATTCTGTCATGGTTTTTTATTCACCCTTTTCTTTCTGAAGTTTCTTTCTTCACTGAGAGAAAAAAAAGTATAGAAATGGTACCTTTAGGGGTGCAACATTTTGTCCCTATAAGGGACACCTTTTTTACCTTCTCTACCCCCTTTTTTTAAGTGTAAAAAAAAAACAAAAAAAAACAAAAAAGAAGATATTTAGATGAATGTTGGTAACCAAACAGTTGCTGGTAGCCATTGACTTCCATAGCAGAGGAAACAATACTGTGGACGTCAATGGTTAGCCTATAGCAGCTGTTTGGTTCCCAACATTCTTCTAAATATCTTCTTTTATGTTCAGCAGAAGAAAGAAACTCATACAGGTTTGGAACAGCATGAGGGTGAATAAATGTCGACAATGTCTTAACCCATTTAATCCTACCGGTCACAATAGTGACCGTAAAAAAAAAAAGAGGTTTTCATTTATGAAGCTCTAAAAAAACTTACTGACTGATGTTTTAGTACACTTCCTGCAAATATGGATTAAATAAATAAATAAAGGGTCTCAATTAAATATGTGAGGTTTCACATGGTTAGTGCAAATTGTCACATGACCAGAGCATTGTATTTCCTGTTTGCACCTTGAAAAGATGATGGCTGCATCAAAGCTCCAAAAACGAAAGGCTAACATAACGATATGACAAAGGTTTTTGGTACACATTATCTTTAGGCTGTCTAGTATTAATATATGAATTCACATATATTCAGTTTTGTTGAGTGTGCATGGTCATAGAATGAGTAAACATCTTGATGGTCACAACAGTGACCGGTGGGATAACGGTGAATTTAGGTATACAATATAAATCCAATTGCAGTTGTTGAAAATTGCACTAAATTGTTGCAATGACAAAATATTGCACTAAATTAAAAGTTTAAATGTGACAAATAATTTACAATATCGATGTGGTAATACTGGTATCACTAATGCACAAAAAGGTAAACATTTTGAAATATGCTGATGGTTGTATATTTTGTCTTTTATCTCAGCATTCCTATCAATGTTTTTTAATAAGTTTTTTTTTTAATGTATAATAGTAACCCTAGAATGTGATCAAACAGTTTAAAGATATATCTTTTTTTTTTTTTTATGACTGCAGAATTATGTTAATTCAGTAGCCTACACACATTATCCCACCGGTCACAATTTTGACCGACCATAAAACACAATTTTTCACACACTTTTCCAAAAAGAAAGAAAAAAACAGTTGCTGGTTATTTCAAAGGGTTACTAATGACACATCATTTGGATATTTTCATGTACCTTGGAAACAAAATTGGGATTAAACGGGTTGATATGATTAAGTTACTCACAAGCGAAATAAAAGGGTCTGTCTCCCAGACCACACTGTTTCATGCCCTGGCCGTGGAAAAGTCCGTAGCTCGTCCTTCCGATGAATTTCTCCAGCTCTGCTCCGGACGCGTTGACGATCTGCGCGCCCGTCTTGCACAGAACCGCCGCTTGAACCCAAAACTGCGTCCCCATCGCGGCAGCCACGACCAGAACACAACCAAAGCAAAACACGCCAGCGACAGAGAATATAATTCGCTTTTGACGGCTAGGCATTATGTTTGACAGAGCGCAGCCACAGTAATCAATGGATATCCACAGAATAACGCGCAACGGCGATCTTCCTATAATCCAACATGGGAAAGGACATTGTGCTGTTGTCGATTTCCCCTTTAAGTCTAAACGAATGCTATAAAACGATCCCTAATGCTAGGTAGCACATGTTGGCCGAGTAAAGTTGGATCCCAATGTCTTCTCTGGATAGAGTTACGCCAAGCGCCTTCACCGTCCTCCGTCTCCAAGCAACCGGGTTGAATGTCTCGCCCCATCTCTGGCTGCATTTAATAGGGTTACAGTTTATTATGTGTGGTATAATAGCGGGCTAGCTAAATGTATGAATATGAAATAATATCCCAAGTAAATAATAGCCATGCCCGTTTTGACTTAGCCTTCACTAGGCTTTCCTGACACACAGCATGCCATCAGAGCAAAAATGATGTAACCTTCAATGCAAAAGGTCATTAATCAGAAAGAGACTCCGGAGAGAAATAAGACATTATTAAATGTGGTAACAATGATTTATTAAAACTAAAATAGTTAAAAGAGTAAAACAAAATAAAAACATTTCTTTATAATCAACCCTTATAATTTGAGAAACATAGGCTGTATCCAAAATCGCCCCTATACCCTTAAATAGGGCACTATATATTTGAGGGGACAGCCATTTGTAGTGGTGTCCGAAACCATAGTAGATATTTTCGAGTGCACTCATGCAATCCCACAATGCACCGCAAAAACGTGTGTACAACTGATGCTGAAAGGCTAGAGAATACCCATAATGCACTGTAAGAGTCGCCACGCCTCACCAGATGATGGCACACACAGATGAATCATCCACCCATTCATTTTACTAAGCACTCGTCCACGGCATAATACAGAGTAATACAACACAGGAATAAATTCACTGTAAATTGATTATTATTTTTTTAACCTATACATTTAACTTATACATGGAATACAATTTCCATGACCGAGTTCAAGATAAATCCTTTAATCTTACTACTGGAGCGGCCAGTTTGCCAGTTTCAAATGATTATTAAACTGCAAGCACAAACTATCCAAAAGCGGCAGTCCTTTCGGTGCCCTCAGTGGGTGAGCGTGATTTGACCAAGTACAACATGTTCCTGGATCAACATCCTTGTTGATCCTGGAACATCATTCCAATCAACCAACCAGAATTGAGAGATAATTTTTCAGGAAATGTCAGTTTTAGGCTTACAATCAGGATTAGGTGCTTCTACACTCTTGTTAATCAGCTATCATTTCCCTCTGATTTTAGGAATAAATTATGGGTAAGGTTAGGTTTAGGGGTAGGGATTGGGTTAAGTCTGTATTTTTGGACAGTAATGTTGATCCATGTCTTACTTGGCAAAATCACGGCGACCGCCCTCAGTGTCCAAATTCACTCACTTCTTTTCATTCATTCCTGCAAGTAAACTGAATTAGTGACCTAATGTAGGGAATAGTGAATGAGGGTGTAGGGGGCGATTTCGGATACAGCCATACTTAAAACTTAATTATTTTTCGTGCGTTTCAATGGCCAATGGTGTATTATATCACCTCTGCATCAAATTACAAAAAAAATAAATAAAAGTTAACACTAATGCAAGGGTGTTTCTAATGCAGCGTCTATGGGAGTGACGGTAAATTTGTTCTCTCTTCTGACTGCCGTTATCAGTCTTTATCTATTTTTTTTCCGTTCTTGAAAGTTGTGAAAAAACTACTGTGGAGTTTTGCTATTTGAGCAAATGGGAATGCAAAATTTTTTTTATTTGTGGTACTCTCCCATTCATTCCTCTGGAAATTTACCCAACTATGACGACGGGGACGCTGCTGAGAAACCCGTAAATGTGAAAAAGGTCTATTTATTGATTGTCATTATGAATTTGGGATATGGAATACAACTTATACAAACAATTTCACACTGAATGAAAAATAAATAAAACGAAAACATAGTCAATTTCATGCTTGAGGTGCGGTTGTCCTTGTGATGGTGGAAGTCCGAGTCCTGGCTCTTGGTCCTTTTTGTATATAAGTACAATTAAACACCTCTGAGCATCATTGTACAGTACATCTTCTGTAGATTTAGTTATGTTTACATACATACAAAATTCTTATCAACTAGTATTGCCACAGCTTTTTTAACTGACTTTTTTTTTTTCTCTCAAATAGGTCTTTGTCCATTCTTTTTCCACAGGCTTCAGTCTGCTTTGTTGATTTTTTTTTCTTTTTTCTTGTAGCTTTTCCTACATTACTAATCCACAGTTCTTTAAGAAACTCTTTCTTTACACTACATTGACATTCAGCAAATTATTTTGCACTAATACTTGGTCCATAACTCTCCTCCGGCTGAATTTTCACTCTGTGTCTGCGGTCGGAACGCTGCCTCTCTTTGAGAAGGCCTTCGTGATCTGTTGCCTGAATGCACGGCAGATGACAAAGTACAGCACTGGATCGAAGCACAGGTGCAGGATGGCAAGAAGCAGAGTCGACTCTTTAGCCAGGAACAGATTCTTCCTTAATGTGCATTCGGTGATGACCTCTATCTGCGTAAATGTGTACGGCATACGCACAGCATGGTACGGCACGAAGCACACCACGTATGCCAAGGTCACCAATGCAATGTTTATGAAGGCATGTTGGGCACTAGCCTGTTCCTCGGGGTCAGATTCACGCCGACCCCAGAGCCGCTTCAAGACCAGGCCGTTGGACAACAGCACCGCTACCGAGGAGTTGAAGAAGATGGCCATGCCCAGAAACACAGACAATGCGTGCCAATGCTTGGCGAAATCATCTTTTAAGTCTGAACACGTCAGGCCAACTTTGTATTCAACGTTTTCTTTGATAGGGATGGCCATGTTGGGCACGTTGATGAAGAGCACGAGGAACCAGACCACCGAAGACATCAGCACCGCAAAGCCCACTTCCTGCAGTCGGAGCAGCTTGGAGCTGCGGGTGATCTGGAGGTAGCGCTGCACGCTAACAAAAGCTAGAAAGATGACAGACGCGTACATGTTGATGTAGATGAGCGGCGCACTCACTCGGCAGAGAAAGATGGTCAAACTCAGAGAATCATTGCCCAGGTCTTTGGCAATCTTGACAGGTAATGCCAACATGAGGAGGAAGTCGGACGTCAGGAGATTGATGAGGTAAACATTAATGCACTTTTTAGCACTTCGGCTGGTTATGAAGGCCCATAGCGCCACCAGGCTGGCAGCCATTCCAATCAGGAAGATGAGGATGTAGACTGTGGCGAAGGGCACCATGTTGTCGTTGACCACACAGACACTGGCGTTCGAACTCTCCATTTTCGGATCTGGACTGTGTAAGCGCTAATAAATAAGTCAAATCAAGGCTGTCAAATACGTATGTTTTACTTCTCCCTTTCTTCACGTGACTATACCTTCTAAGTCTTGTCAGACCACCGAGAATAATCGAAGCTGATCTGAACACAATTCCGTCTTTCACTTCAGCAGAAAGTAAAAGGTATCAGTAGAGGAAGTGGTAAATCCCCTGTTTAAGCACGCGAAAGCATTTTCCTGTTTGCTCGCTAAGGATATGATGTCACGTATCAGCATCAAATAGAAAATGTTATGTAGCAATCCTGGAAAGAAACAGAAAGAAAAAAAATGTGTTTTTACCTCCTTTTCCTGTTTTTAGTTATGTTTCACAATAATATATGAACTGTTTATATGAATATATGCACATGCTGAAGCTGGTTTAGATGTGATGACAACAATGTGCATCAAGGCAACTGCAATCAAAGCATCAATTCAATGACATTATATCAGTTTCTTGATATTTTCTCTGGATCGCCGCACTATTAATGTTTAGTCTGAAAAACATTGTCCTTTAATATTAAAGACAGCTTCTTCCATGATCGAGAAGCTAGTAACACTTTTCAAAATAAGGTTATAATTATTAACATTAGTTAACTACATTAGTATTTACATAGTAATTACATAGAATGACATAGTACAAATTACAAATAACATAGAACTAAAAATCCTAAAGCATATATATTTTTAAAAATCTTAATTTTGATTAAATGCATTATTATTATTATTATTATTATTTACAAATACATTATTAAAATCAAAAGTTATATCTGTTAATGTTATTTAATGGCCTTGAACTGACAATGAATAGGTGTATTTTCATTAACTGAAGTTTACTGAATAACTAATGTTTAATGAATAAATACTGTAGGCCTAACTAATGTATTATAAATGATTAACTAATGTTAGTAAATGCATTAACTAATAGGACCTAAAGTGTTACCAATATGTTTAGATCACCTGGCAGTCAAGTTGCTGTTTAGTAAACCATCTTGTCCTCAGTGTCCATAAAAGGAGTGTTTAAGTTGGGTTCCCATTTTGTTTCATTTAATTAAACAGAATAAATATACTAACTAACTAACTACCTACCTACCTAACTAACTAAGTAACTAATAAATAAATAAATAAATAATCTGCAACTGTGTCTTCACATAAGATATCTTACAAATATTCAAAGTTGCAAGCAGGTATGTTACGGTACAGTACATTAACTTTTCTAGTATCAAATAAAACAGTAGCAAATGAAATTGTGCTCTTGTCATGTCTGCTTCCACACTAATAATGCAGACAGTAAGTGAGAGTTCTTAAAGTGTATATTTTTTAATAGTTTAGCAGGGTTTTGTGGCAATAACGCCTTAACTGTATGCTTTTCATTTGATATAAATATGACATAAATAACAGCTACAGTTTATTTGAATTTGTTGTGCATTTTTCAACACTAACATTCACTAACAAAGAGACCCCTCAAGAGCCAATAATTTACACCTCAAATACCTAAAAGCCCATTGCTGATAGTCAAAGTGCGTAGTTTGACTTTTTCTTAAAGTCACTAACCGCAACATTATGATTTCAGGACAAAAATGTAAATTAAAAGCATAACTTTGTATCTTTCTCAAAGTAATCCACAACTGCAATACAATCTGTTTGGTTCTTGTGGAGCAGTGGATTCCAGGTCTTTTGCTCAACACTCATCATTTCATCTTGAATTTATACTGGATTACGAAGGGCAGACACTGTTTTGACCAAAAACTGGTCTTTGTTAGCATATTCTGCCAATGGTGGTGAGGAAAACATTGAATATGCGCTTAAGGGAAGTGAGTCAGATTGTGGTCATCTAATGTGCTGAAAAAGGAAACTCATTTACATTAATGGACAATAAAATACAGGTGGAACTTAGAAATATGTCTATTTATTTATTTTTTTAATTATTTTTTATTTAAATGGTTCTATTTCACTTTTTAATAAAATAAAATATCCTTCATTGCTCATTAACATCGTGCACATTGTTTGTCGTTTCCCACACCTGTCTCTCCAGGAAGTAAATACACATGGAGGACATCAAAAGTCAGTCTGAATCAGTTTAGAAACTTTGGCTGATTATCAGATGCATAGCATCTCATGAAGAAACAAACGCTTTGTGCCTCGTATCAGAATTAGATTTTGATAACTTACCGCATGACCAGACTGGCTTCTCCAGCAGACATCAGATCAGACGCTGGAGTAATGCAATCCTGCTCTCTAGCTGTGTATTGTTCTTGTTGAAAGATCTATACAGCTACTGAGATACTCGTTCGGAGAGTTTCTTCGCTGGCTCAACTACGTTACAAATCCAGTTTCCGTTTTACTTGGGGTTTGGTCTCAATTATATCAGCCAATGGAGGAAAGCATTTACCACACCTACAATGAAGTGAAATGACGCAGCGGAAACGTAAACTTTCCAGATTCTGTGTCTGTAGACGACCACAAACCACTAGTCTATGGCTCTCGTTTGCATGCGCTCTCTGCGCTGTAAGTTCCTGGTTTGAAAGAACAATGGGTTGGTTTTGACTTTCCTCTCAATGTGTTGAACATAAGTTGCACTGTTAGTGTCATTTAACGGCGTCCGTGCTTTCAGGCGCATCATTGAATCGAGTTTCTGCAACCCAGTAAAATCATTAAAAAACAAACACAAAACAATGCATAGCCTCCAAACAGGGCATCCAGTAATATTTATGTTTTGCAGCTGCAGTTTGGCACAGTATTACCTGGGCAAATTGTTTGGCCTGCGGATATGTTGTCAACATAATTCTACCATAAGATATACCAAATCATATAAGGTTTACCATTTTAAGATAAAATATCTTAAAATTCAATACTTACATTTAAAAGGGCAAGCCATTTAAATACCAAACAGAGAAGTAATTTCAAAGTGTTTTTCCACAATTATTACCAGCAATGCTTCATTGTTTACTAAATTAATGCACGATTCCTTTTCAAAATAAAATAGCAATAAAGGATTAAAGTAAACAACAATAAAACATATTTTTAAGCTAAAAAGACAACTTTAATATTTATTTTGCCATTTTTAATTTTAAATTCTGTATTTTTTTTTCCATAGCAAGCTAAAAACATGTCCTATGTTCTGTCCATTTGTATATTAATTATATTGCACTATAACTTGGAAAAAAAAGCACATCCCCAATTCCAGTTCTTGGTTGGGTGGTCAGGTAGAAGAGGTCACATTTTTCAAGATAAAATATCAGTTTGAATCTTCAAAATGAATTTCTTACAACAAATTCTCTATATCATCTCTATATCATCTATCAGCATCTATATCACGCTGTAATCAACTGAAAGTGAAAATAAAATGTTGCATGTAGAAAAGGAAGGAACCTAATAAATTGATGTATTACACTGCATTAGATTGAATGAGCCTTCATCTGCATTGCATAGTTTGTTTCATTGTTAGTAGGACAGTGTCATCCTTCAAGAGATTTTTTTGTGTTAAATGACACTTTCACGTCGTAATGTGGATATCTTTGTTTCAATGTAGCTCAGCATGTTGCTCATTCGTCTTTGCTGGCTTTTATCGTCGCTGTCTCTCATTGAATCAGACATCCTCCTGAGGCCCAGCTGGGCTCTGAAGGCCTTGCAGAAGATAAAGTATATAAGTGGATCCAGACAAGCATTGAGCACCGATAGCAGGACAGTCAGCTCCTTTAGGACGTAGAACGCCTGCGCCGTGCAGAGCTTCGTCTGAGGTTTGATGAATGCGTAAGGCAGCCTAACCAAATGGTAGGGCACAAAGCACACACAAAAAACCACCACGAGCACCAGCATATTACGCTTCGATTTCCTGAATTTATGGCTTCTGGATGTGATCTGTATGGACAACTGAGCTTGTTTGATCTTTTGCAAAGTCCCCCAGTACAAAGCAATCAGAGACACCAGCACAAACGTGAAGAGCACCATAGACACACTGTGAGTGATTTTGTAGACCAGACTGAGCTGGGGACTGTGTAAGGCCTCGCAGCCGCTTTTCTCAGGCTTGTGAACGTGACCCCAAGAGGTCAGGAGAAAGAGGATGAAGTAGACGGAAGACATGGCTAACAGGGAAAGCCACGTTCCTATGGAAATGTGTCGAGCGGTACGAACCGTCTGCAGAGCATGAGTCTCCAATGGCCGGACAATCTTCAGGTACCTGAGGTAAGAGTAAAATATTAATATAATGTCATAATACATAAATGCATTCAAATTACTTAATAAAAAATAGATAGCAATGTTCTTTTTTTTTGCAGCCATGCTTGAAATTATATATGTTTATTTCTGAATAAAGCTGTAATGTTTCATTTTTGATATTATTACACAGCTCTCTGATTTTGATTTGACATTCGTGACAGTCTGACATTATTCCTCAATAATAACTGTTGTCAATAGCAGTGCTGTATAATGGCTGCTCATAGGTGAACTAAAGTAGGTGCTTGCGTGAGTTGCATACCTGTTTGCAGCAATAAAGTCCATAAAGAGAATGCTTGCATACATGTTAAGATAGAATGCTGTTGCTCCAAAGCTGCAGTAAATATTGCGCATTATATCTGAACTGTTGGTGTAGTTAGCAATGCGCAAAGGTAAACAAAGACAAAGGAAGAAGTCAGCTGCCGCCAGGTTCTTCATGTAGACCGTGACGCTGGACTGAACGCGCTGATTGGAAAAGAAATAAACCCGCATCGTGATGCAATTAAGCACCAGACTGACGAGAAACACTAGTGAGTATGCAAATATGAAAGCAGGGTGAGAGGGGATCTTTGAAAATTCGCAGGAAGCATTTGTTTCTGTGACCGTCGTATTTGTTTCTGTGATGTCATCCAGGGCAGTGGTGAAGCTGGTTAGTGGGGCTGCAGTTCGACGAATCTGTGAAACGGCTGACTCCATCTATTAATGCACAAGAGAGACAGTTAAAGTCCCTATAAGTTGTATATGGGATTTTATTGATCCTCAAAGCTCAAAAGGTCAAATATGGTGTAACTCCATCATTCATAGAATGTAGAATATTTATAGGCTATCTGTAAGATTTTGTCTATACACGTAATAGACGACTAATGACTCTAAAACATTAAACATATTAAACCATTAATCACACTTCGGTACAATATTTTGAAGTTTATGGTTGAATATAGGCAATGTTCTACGTTCTCATTAAAACTTGCTATAAAAATTAAACCTAAAAATAACCCTTAGAGAACGGTGTCTGCATCTGAAATCACATCCTCTCTGGGCAGGTACTTCTTTTAAATGAGTTATTACTTTGTGACTGTTAAAAAGTATGTTTTATATAGTACTTTATGAATGTGCGTAGTATGAATTGGAGCCAGGCGTACTACATTTGTTACGTTGTCATTGTCATTTGTATCACTTCACTGTCATTCACGAATCCTCTCCCATGGCCTCATAGGATAGTAAATTGTCCATTGGGTGCACACTTCAGAGCTGCATTTCCCAAAAGTGTAAAATCTTAAGCCGAAGTTGATCATAGAACCATTGTCATCAATGGAGCTACGATCAACTTCGGTTTACGATGCTTTTACGCAGCCCAGACAAGTAGTAGGTGATCCAGGAACTTTTGGCCTACTGTTTTATGAATACTGTGAATTGGACATACTACTCTTTTCACATTCGGTTTTTAATCTGTTATGTACAGTAGTAGGGAAGTATGTGATTTCAAATGCAGCCATTCTGTCTAGGTTCTTATTAGATCAATGTGCAAAAACCTCCTTGCAACGTTCTGACAATGTTCGTTTATGGTTACAAAAATGGAAGGAATTCCTAGAATGTTAGAATGGTTCTCAAAAAATAATCAAAAGGGAAGCATATAAGCTCTAGTCACACAGGATGTGTTCTTCCGAGCTGAATAGAACGTAGCAGAATTAAACTGAACACCAGATTCTTGAGGTGCGCTGGGCTTCTTTTATCTTGATACACTCTTATCACTGTGCAACAGAACAGCTAAAGACAGCTAACAGTTGGCATGTGCAGCCAACTATTTTAAAAATAGCACATGCGATAGATGCATCCTGTGCAAGCAAGTCAAACTTAGTACAGACTGATTTAATTTGACAATTCAAAACGGATGTTCTCAAAAGTAAAATCAGCTCTTTACATCTGTTTGCTTCTCTCCTACTTTCTGTGCTCACATATTGCATTTTAATACAGACAAATGTACCTATTTTTCATTTAAAATACTGCTTCATAATCTGACAAAATCATCACTCCTTTAATATGCTGTGATTTCTGTTATATTTCCGTGTACAATTCTCACAGAAAGCAACAGAATGTCACAGCGCACATCCTCATTCTGGGTAACAAACCACAAGAAAGATATTCCCTTTTCAGTCAGGGATGATTAGGCCTAACCTGACCCCATTTGCCCGTTTATTGATGCGATGATGCCAAAAATGGTACAAGATCAAAATGTGAATTTTTTCGACCTGAAATGACGAATCAACACCACAGGGTTATATCATTATATCATAACCTATTGTTGCAAAATCAGATCTCTGTCGTTCTCTTGCAGTGATGAGAGCTGCGTAACGTGACATTTATCAAGTTCAATGACTGATAAAAAGCGTCTCTTTAATAAAGGTCAGGTCTGTTCACAGAGGCCACTTTAAGGTGCTCTTTTCTGCACCACAAATGCTACTGATATCATACTGACACACTGTGTTGATACTGACGCTAACATTTTTATATATAATGCCAAGCATTCAAAAAAGGTTGTTCATTAGCAACTAAATGTCTGAACAAATACATATTAGAGAGAGAGGGAAAAAAAACAATCTATTACTCAGTTCATTGGCCATTTAGAACAAAATAACCACAACGTGCTCTATAAATCACAAATCATTTCGTGGTAATTATACATATTACATTAAAACTTTAGCAAGTTCCTTAACACTGAGAGCTAAATAGCTTAGAGACATCAAAAATGTCCTGTCTTAAATAACAATTAATCCATGATATAAACAAGATGCAAATAACAAATGACAAAATCTTCTCTCAAACTGACCCAACAACGTTTATAGTAGAACCTTAATTGCAATTAACAAAAAAAGCTAAAAGCTAATTAGCTGATCACGTTTAACTTACTTGAAATCCTCACTTTTAGCCAAGCTGTCCACTGAGCTTTGATCTAGAGTTGGTCTTTTGGTCATAAGTTCCTTCTGTAACATGTAAAGAGGAAATTGGGTTTTGTATGTATCTCTCTCTCTCTGTGTGTGTGTGTGTGTCAGTATATGTAACAAGTCAAAGTATGTGACAAAAATGCA